CCGACAGCCTGTGGGGCAGGTTCCCATTCACAGGTGAGCGAGCCGAGCTCTGACAGGTTAAGCGCCTTTGTCCAAGCTCACTCAGCTGAGCCAGGACCCCACATCCACTCCCAGGCCTGCATCTGTTCCCCACGCAGCCTGCAAGGCCCATCAGTGTCCAGAGGGTGGGCCTCACCCGGGAGGGGCCGCGGAAGGGATGAGAAAGCTGGGCCAGGAGTCAGCCGCACAGGTTGGGCCACACTCCAAGCCTCAACACCCCCGTTAAATGGGCGGGTGGCACTGGACCTGGGAGGCCTCCCACCTGGACACGCTGAGGGTGGTAAGCTCCACAGGCCTCCCGGAGCCCCTCCCTCCTGCCCAAGGCCCTACCTGTGTCCCCTCCCATCTACCAGGTGGTTGAGGCACATTGACAGTAAAAAAACACGCCGGCACAAAACCATTTTTAGAAAATAAGGTCTTGTAAAAAAACACAAACAATTCTGAACAGTTAACATTATAAAAAGGTACAAAAATACAGGGACTCTGAACTCCAAGGGATTTCCTGACAAACACTCTGCACTAAGGCAGAGAGACCCCTGGGAAGCCAGGGCAGGGCCTGGGTCTCTGACCCCTGCCCTAGGCCTGGGTATCCCTCCTGCTTCCCATGAGCCCACGCTCCCGGGGCCTGCTTCAGGGCCGGCCACCCTGACCCTGGCTTCGGCTCAGCCCCTCAGCGAGGACCTTGTAGAGTGTGGAGTGGCTCACCCGGGGAGGGGGCCGGACTGAGGGGGCCCACAGACGGCACATGGCCCTGAGGATGCCGAGAAGCCACTGCTGGGTCGGAGCTGCACTGGAGTCCCCCACCTCCCAGAAATGCCACCTCGGCTCATCCTCACCCCATCTGAGCTCTGGCTGCCCCGACAGGCCCAGGCTTTGAGTGGGTTGTGCTGGAGAGGAGGCCCTCTCCTGCCCCAGGTACCGGCCGGGAACGGGCTCATTTCTCTGGGGGCCCAGAGGCGGGGGAGAAGGACGCTGAGCTCCTCCGAAGCTCCTGCTGCAAATGCCCCTTCAGTGTGGACACCTGGAGAAGAGAGAGAAGGTGGACTCTGCCTGGCCGGCCGGCCCGGGTACTCAGCCTGATTGCAGAAAGGGGGTGCTTGCAGCTGGGACCCCGGAGGAAACCCTCATTTAGAACCAGGGCATTTCCTTCCCTCCTCACTCTGTCCCACAGTGTAGTCAGGTGTCCCCTTCCTCTGATGCTCAGCATCTCTCTGGGGCACCCCATCCCCTCGTCACTCAGATGGGCCTGGCACTAGCCTGACTCAGGGTGGACCTGAGACCCAGGCCTGGCTTAGCGAGCCAGCCTTGCCCTGTAGGCATGTGCCCAGGTGGCACGGTCAGTAAGGGGATGGGATTGAAGCTGGTAAGTGAGAAGCAGCCCTGGGACCTTTGCTGTTGCTCCACTCGT